CCGTCCTGGGTACTAGGTCTTCCGTTACTATATCTTTGGCAGAACTCATCGCAAGGACCGTCCGTGCCAGTGAGTGGGATGACGCTGCTGCTACCCGGGATGAGACCTATCGCCGCCGAGCAGAAGCTCTGGATCACTTGGTATCTGTGGACGCAGAAGGCTCTCCCTTGGGCTTCAATCGCCGCTTCGGTTACTTAGCCGTATTGGTTAAGTTGTACAAGGACAGCAACGAAGAGGACGCAGCGTACGGCGTTTCGCGGCAATTTTACCAGAATTCTGTAAACAGATATGGCTCTCACTCGCTTGAGAGTGGCAAGGCTGCTGATTTCCTGACGCACCACTTTGAGATCTCCAGTGATGATGACATGGCCCTCACACTCGCTCGCACCAAGTACGAAAACATGGTTCGGACTTTGCCTGCCACAGATGATCGTCGCATTGCCTACACATTGTATATCGCACGACTCTATGAACAGCAGAACCAGCCTGATCAGGCAGATGGAGTTCTGGCTAGCTTATGGGCAGGTTTGTTGGCGCACGATGTGACATCAGCATCCACCTGGGACAAGAGGACCAAGGTGGCATTGGTATACTACCAATTCCTGCGCCGCCACGGACGCCCTGATGAGGCCGAAGTTGTCATGCGTGATCTCTCTGCGGACATCCAAACTGATGGTATTCATTCCCCCGAAATGTTGGAGCGAGCCGAAACACTCCGCAGCGAAGCTCGTGAGATGCAGCTTACCGACATGGAGCGCATGCTGTCTGTCATCATTTGGAATTACTACAAGCGTGCCGGTCTCGAATACACCCCTCAGGCCGTTACATTGGCCGAGCAATTGGTGGCAGGAATGACTAAAGCCAACTATGAAAGTCTGGCCGCGCTCTCTGCCAAGGACCGTCTCCTGCTACACCAGCTCCTTGACTCCATGGCCTCTGGAGAGAATATTTCGGTGTCGACTCTGGTACTAAGTCACAACCTTGCCGCTGTCCACATCCGTGACGAGGAGTGGCTTGAGGGAAGCGACTGCGTGGGTGCGGTTCTCAAACACACCTGGCCAACTGTTGACAGCGCCGATTCCGACTCGAAGTTCCCCTCTGACCGCGCGCCTCACATGGCCAACCTAGCCTTGGACATGGCCTACTGCTCGTTCCGTCGTATGAACGTTCCCAAGGCTTCCGTTGTCTACGGGAATGCCTTCAAGGCATCCATCACTGCTGATAAGGTATCTGTTCCTTCCGTCACCGCCGTCGTCAAGACGGTGGTTGAGTTCTACGAAAACACTTTCCAGTACGCGATGGCATTGGTTGTCCTGCGCCAAGTCAGCCAGTTCTTCCTGTCACGTCTTGGTGTCTCCGACAAGCACACCATGGACAGCCTGTACCACCAGGGAGATCTTGCAACGCGACTCGAACATCACGATGATGCAGAGAACAGTTATGGCACGATCTACGATGCCAGTCTCCGTGATGGGAAGATTAGCTCGATCGGTATCCGGGCTGCGGTTGCGCTCATCGCCCTTTACGAATTGAACAAACAATGGGACTCGGCGTTGGGAGTCTATCGTCGTCTGTGGCCTACACTCATCCACTTCGACGAGAAGGATGGATACGACCGCGCTTTGTTGGAAGGTCTCTTGGAGAAAACGTACAACGGATACATGGGGATTCTCGAAACAACAGGCAAGTCGGAGAATTACTCGGAGCGGTACCGTGTCGCCTTTGAACATCTGCGACTTTGCAAGAAGATCCACGGCCCTTCGCACGACATGACGCTCAGGGCCACGCTCGGATTAGCTGGTGTCTGCGAAGAAGGCGAACAACATCTGGACGAGGCCATTTCGCTTTACCAGCAGGTCTTGCGGGTCAACGAATGGGTCCCGTCGTCTCAAGCTTCCCGTGCTTTGCCTGACATGTCGCTAACGTTGCCTATCACGACTAAGCACAAACTGGCTCAGCTCTATTTGCGAAAGAAGTCCAGGTCTCCCGAAGCTGGATCTCTCTATGCGGAGGAAATGGCGCTGTCGAAGCAGCGACACGGACATTCGTCCACTTCCGCTCTGTCGTGGCTGCGCCAGATTGCTTTGTTCTTTGCTTTACAGGACTCCACGGACTCTTGGAACCGCGGGGCTACTGCCCTGCGCTCTCACGCCCACGAAACAATTGAAGTCACCGATCACCAGGAGACGTTGGTGGACCGAGCTCGTCGGCTGGCGGAGATTTACCTGGAGTGTGGCTATATCGATGCGGGCAACAACTTGATCGATGCCCTGCGCCAGCAGGTGGTGTACGAGCGCCCCGAGTCACAGAGATCGCTGAATACGTATCAACCCGCCGTATTCGTTGCTGCTTTTGAGGAATATTTCCGGAATCGCCAGTCGTTTAGCCAGATCTTGGATGAACTTAGCGAGGAGAGCTCCGTGTTCGGATCATTTGAACAAAGCTTGTCAAGCCACGATCTTGTCCCAACACTGACCTCTGGTGAGAAGCTCCATCGGGCACAGACCGAGCAGAGGCGAACAACTGCCGCCAAACAGACCCAGTCTAAACTGTACGCTTATTTCTGCAACACCCTGTCGATCTCGCATCTTAAGGAAAAGGATGTCATCCGCCAATTCTACAATATCTGCCGCCGGGAGGTATTGTACGATGACTACAACACGAACATTATCGCGGCTACTATCAACGAAGTCAAGAGCCTTTGCGACAGTTTACGATTCCAGGAAGCCGCCGACCTGGCTGGCGCTTTCCACTCTTTCGTTCACTTGACTGAAGGTCTGCGAACCTACGAGAGTATCCTGGCTTCCATCAAGATCTGTCTGTACCTCAATGGTTACCACACCAGCAGGTGCACCGACGAGAAGGTTGCGAGGAACATGTCGATTGAGTCCAAGTTGCTGTTGCAGGAAATCATGACGAACGCAAAAGATATCAACGTTCAGTTCTCCGAATTGCCGTTTGCTGAGCTAAACGACTTGGTTACAGTCTTGGGAGAGCACGAACTGTTTGAGGATCTGGAGGTATGTTTTTCTGTCGCACATGTTTTTTCAGGTTGTTTACTGATCGATTTTACCAGATTATTTTGACCGATCTCTGGACCTCTCGCATCGTCCAGCGAACCTGGACCCTGAATGTCGTTGTTTGGATCGGGCGTCGGCTGGTGGAAAGTCGTTACTGCCGGGGTAACGTTGACGGTGCCATTAAACTCGGTCGCGATATCTGCTACAACTTGCGTCAGGTCTGGGGTAACTGTGACCCCATTACCTTCGACATGACTACGTTGCTGTCCGGAATGTATACGGCGTCCGGCAACTACCGCGCCGCGGTCGCTCTCCATGAAACTGCCCTGAACGAACTGCTTAACGACCGTGATGCGGTGCATGATGAGCGCGCTGCTGAAATCGCTTCGCAGCACCTGGAACTTCTCAGACACGCTCAAGCTCGCCGCCAGAAGGGGTCGTCATCTCCAGCTGGCGAGACGCAGGCGTATTCCGAATTGGTGAAGCAATTGTCGACCAAATTCAACATTTCAGCTCCCGCGTCGCAGGATGTGTCCGCGATGGATGATGATGTAGGCGTGTGGCATCGTCCTCGTCGGTTTAGCCTTGATGTCCAGGAGGAATTGGAGCACCAAAACCATCTCCGGAACTCGAGTGGTGCAACGATGCTGAACGGAAATGCCGGGGCCAAGCGGATTTCGGTTGCTGCCCTGTAAAGAATGTAGATTAACTGTCAGATGTTAATCATTTCGTCTTCTAGTATAACTTATTATAGTTAGTGACTTTTAATAGTAGTATAATGAATGGATTCTCTTTTCCGTATAACTATACATCTTCTATGCCCGGTCGATCAGCGCCGCCCCCGGACCGACCGGTAACCGGGCAGAACCTTAAAATGAAGAACCCTAAATTGACATAAACTGTTCAGGAAGAAGCGCGAATGTCTATACCGGACTCTCGAATGCCTCTATTATGGACGTCTCTAGAGAAATACATACCAATTGCGCCATCATCGGCGCCATCGTCGCCAGCCTCAAACCACATTCTTAGTCCATGACGACGATGATTCAACACAAGCAATCAGCCACCAAATCGTTTCCATATAGGCATGTATTGCCTTGCTGCCTCTCTACGCCAAGCCTACATTAGAGGATAATAAAAAAAGACTGCCATGGCCCTTCATCAATCGCGATCTGATGACAATATGGGCTCCGCAAAGGTCGAGGAATTCGTTGACGCGTACTATGCACGCCGTCGTGCCCTGCCCTTTCAATTATTGGCAGCTGTCCAGCCTTCTAGAGCTTGCCAAGAACTCCTTGTTCCCTGCTCCATGACCGACACTTGCGTCTTTCACCCTACTATATACTTGGTGGGTGAAACGAGAAGAGAAAAATAGAAAAGATCATCCGGTCGACAATTGTTGGCTAGCTGAGTCTGATGTCATGTTTCAGCAAGGAGAGATTCTATGCTCCTTCTACAAAGTGATTGACGCACTATATTTTAACAACAGGACTTGGCAAGAACGGAGCGAGTAGGGGATCTCCGGGATGTATTTCCGCAGCACCATGTGAGCTGCCAGTATTGTTTAATTGGTATGCCGGGCCTGCAATATACATAGTATAGTTGAGCCAAGAAACCAGCTGGCTTCATCCAGTACGTATGCATGCCCCTATGCCTTGGTTACGGAAAATCATAATGTCCCCGAAATATGGAAGGAGGAAGTAAGGGATCTGCTCCTGATCTAAGATCTGTCCTCCACCGGCCATCCATATCCACAGACCAGTGCTTGTTTATGCAGGGGTTCCAGTTAGTCGGTATGTCTGTACACAGCGTAGAAGATGTGTATATAGCACATATTGTGGACTATATATTGTTCCCCTCTGTTATCATGATCTTGCTACAGCCAGCAGATCATTTCTTCGTTTTCGAACACGATTACTATTCTTGTTGAACAATTTCAGATATATCTCTTATTATCTAAACTATTAGATGCCTTCTACAATGCCTAGTCGGACCACTCCGTCCACGGACAACATCGTTGTGATCGGAGGTGGTGCCAGTGGTCTTGCTGTGATTCTTCAGCTGGTCAAGCGGTTTCGCGCCGGAAAGCCTGTGCGAAAGATTACATTAATCGAGAAAAAAGATGAGGCTGGTCCCGGATTGGCGTACTCGCCTGATTGTACCGGTACGATCCTCAACATGACCAAATCCACCATGGGGCTGTATCCGGACAACCCCAATCATTTCAACGAGTGGAAAAACGATCCGAACCTGAAACTATACCCTTTTCGTGAAAGCTATGGAGACTACCTCCGCGCCATGTGGTCTCAGTCTGTGGAAGATGTTCGACAGATGGGAGGTGAAATCTCCTTTATCCAGGATGAAGTCCAGGATATTAACCGCGACGACGACGGCACCTTTACTCTTACCCTCCAGAAGAACGCCAAAACTTTGTTCGCAAAGGACGTTGTGCTAGCAGTAGGGAACTTCACTGTGACGGCAAATCCTCACCTGAGTCACCTCCCGGGCTATTTCTCCTCGCCTTGGCCCACGACCCGATTGATGTCCCTCCCGGCAGACGCCCCCATAATCATTCTCGGCTCTCGACTGTCTGCCATTGACGCTGCAAATGCCCTCGTCGACAATGGTCACCGTGGCCCCATTACCTTCATGTCGCGCAGCGGTCGACTTCCCAAGGTACAGGGGGCACCTGTCCCCTTCCCGCGCCGGCACAACCTTTATACCCTTGCCAAACATGTTCATGCTCCAACACGCGTGGGGGCTTCCTTTGCCAGTCTCATGAGCGGTATCATGGAGGAGGTCTCGCACTTGGCCGGAAACGATTGGAGCTGGCTGCTTCAGAATCACGACTGCCCGATGGAGGAGCTGGAGTCAGATATCAAAGATGCGCAAGAAGGCAGAGCTGGTTGGCAAACTGTCCTGAAAAGCACGGCACCTCTTGTCGAGCGTTACTGGCGGTCTCTTGAGATGCACGACAAAAAGCTCTTCTACGACAAGTTCTACAGCACCTGGATGCGGTACCGACACGGGATGCCTGTCGAGAACGGGGAGAAGATTCTGAAGATGATGAAGCGAGGCCAGCTGAAAGTCGTCAAAGGGCGAGAAATCGAGTCGAACGGCAATGGTTTCTTCGCCAACACGTCCGAAGGCAAGATTGAAGCGTCCTATGTGGTCGAAGCTACTGGTCAAGAGTGCCGAGTCACTCACGCTCCGTCGCCGCTCATCCAGGCCACGATGCGTAAGGGGATGGCCACCCCTCACCCGCTGGGCGGTTTTGTTGTGAACTTCGACACCCTTTCAACATCTCCGGGCCTGTACACCATTGGATCGTTCACACAGGGCACTCACTTCTATGTGAGCTCTGTCGACCGCATTGCCGAGCATGCATCCCGCCTTGCCGATTCGCTGACCGGAGAGCCTTTGGCGCGACCCCTGCACGTTGCTGTTTTCCTCCGGGGAGACCCCTTCTCCCACATTATGGCTAGTAAACTGGTCCCCCGACTTCTTGCTGCAGGTCACATGCCGTTCCTATTCGTGCTGCCTGCAGGAAAGAGCCCCGCCAACGGAACAACCGCACCTGTCCGTGCGCGACAGCTTGCATTTTTCGAAAGAGCCCTCATGAAGCAACACGTCACCCCGTTTCTCAAAGATGTGCCTCAGAATGGCGCTGAATGTCTGTCTCTTGACCAGATGAGATCCACGTATGGAATCCTCGTACAAGAGGTCGACCTCGCCCCCTCGGAAGAAACCCTCCACAGACACTACATCGATGTCGGCCTTTCCCTCGACTGCACTACCACTCGTCACTTGTCGACGGACATCCAGAACTATTTCTCTTGGCCACGTCAATTGCTAAATCTGCACTCCACCGCCAGTCTGAACGCCGATCGTTCCTCGTACCACTTACATGACATGCAGGACTGCTGTGATCGAGACCAGTTCGATCTCCACACCCTTTCGGCGGAGTATTCCGAGCCAATTATTGACTCCCGGAATCACAGCTGTGTTCTTGGGGTGGACTTGGCCGCTGACTTGGTGGACCGCGTTTCTCGAGGTAAGGATCTTCCCAAGGCATTGCGGACAGCGAACAGGCCGAACACGAAGGAAGTCAACGGTGGACAGCAGAAGGATCTTCCCAAGGTTAGCACAGACGGTTTGGTAGAGACTATAGTCAAGTCGTATGCCTCCCCAGAGCACCAAGGACATTTCCAAAAGCACCTCGCTGGAGTTGTGAAGAGCTGGTCGGAGGAAGGGAATTCGAAGGAATCTGGGAAGGAGTCTGGAAAGGAAAACCGTTTCTGTGTTGAATGTCATTAATATATTATAATAGAGCAGAGATAGAGAATGCGAATAATTAATGATTCCCAACGAAGAAAGTGCCGCAGCATTCGGTATCCCAACCTCCCAGATTCTATTTTCTTTATTTGAAGCTCTTCCTATAGTAATACGCGTGACCCCGGAGCGTGAAGCAGAGGGTTTGGTTGCCTGTAGAGAGCAATATACTTAAAGTCTTCACCTATTGTCTATTGAGTGGGATGCTCAAAACTATATACTGTACAAGAGTCATTCGTTTTATCTACCTCATACGTGCTTATCGAGTTACGCAGTTAAGCTTTAGGAGAGAATTGATAAACAAGAATACGTTGTTCCATTCCATTTCACCATAAGCAGGACCTGCCTGGCCATTTGAAGCTAGCTAATATCATAACTTAGACCACGGACTCGAAGTAAGTGGTCAAGAGGTCCTCCTTGACAGGGACGGCAACAGCCTTGAGAGCCTTGTGCGCCTCGCAGTCGTTGTCGTAGTATCTCATGTCGTCCAGTGACTGGAAAGTCATCTTGACGGACAGGTTGTAGCCGTGCGTACGAGGGTCATCGAACGAGGCTCCAACTGCGGCATTGCTGATGTAGGGCTTGCCGTCCTATACCAATTCGAAAACACCATCGTTAGCACTCAGATTGTTTCCTGGTATCATAAAGGTAGCCTCACCTTGGTGGCGGACTTGACCAGGACCTTGAACTGTTCAAGGACACGCTGACGGTCGTCGTTGTTGGGGATCTTGAAGAGGGTAACACGTTCGATGACAGCCATTTTGGAGCTTGATTGAAAGAGATTTTTCTTTAACTTGATTTTTAGAAAGAAGAGATAGATAGGGAGTGATGCTGAGAATGGACAGACTGATCGAAGGGAGGAGGCGACCCTTAAATAGCCCATCGTCTACGCCCAGCGCTCCGACAAAGCTATGTTCTTTTGCACCTGCAATCCTTGACCGACTATCTCAGTCATCGTTGTCTGACCTCATATCTAGACTATCAATCGGGTTGTCATGCATGGCATGTCGAATTCCACCCCTATCATCTATGTATCCAACACACGCATGCAGGCGCAGCAAAACACGGTGATGTGTAGGACCCAGAATCATCTGCGGCTGTCATGAATAATCGTCATTGGTTGGTTTAGCCACACCTCTCTATTGGTGCCAAGATCAATGAGCATCAACATATGTAGAATGCGGCACCTGCATGCATTAGCTCTAATGCAAGGCTCTCCCCCCAAACTTAGAACTATGGAATGTAATACTGGAGCGAAGGAAGGCTGATATTGCATACTACATTTATAAATTATCTAGAATCGAAGACGTTTCAACTAACTTGCCACTTGTTATAACCAGAAAATACCGGAAGCTGGACTTGCGTTGCGGATTGTCCGCGAAGAAGTGATAACTAACGTTTCAGAAATTGGAAAGGTCTGTGAGCCTACTTTCCATTTTCTGTTGATATCTGTCACAAAGAGTCCTTGACATCAATCAATATATTCCGAGGAGAATCGGATGCCTCGATACAAAATGGTTAAAGGAAGGAAGATGTGATACGGCCCAGTGGAATAATGGCGAAACATCCCGAGGCCGGCCCAGTGTAATTAAAGCTTGAGAAAAGGAGTCGAAGACAAAGAAATGAGGATGTCTTTTATCTTGTTCTATTGTCAACGATGAAACCTATTCTACGACACTGAATCTTGTTCAATATTGACTCCGGCGTTAAGAATAATTTGCTAGTCTTCGGAAGAGTATTGCTCCGTATCTCTAGGATCTACTGGGAGAGGAAGGCGATTTTCAGCATGTCAGACAAAGCGACTGAACTGTTTCTGCCGTCATCTCCGTGCAAGAATGGCCATCTAATAGTCATCAAAACAGACACTTTACTCCCAGTGCCAGCGGTCGTCTTCTCTCACAGCAGTCTGACCGGAGACCAGGATCTGTGCCAGGATGTCTCAAGACAGGAGATTAAGCATCAATATCTCGAGTTTGATACGGTTCTCCCGACTCCACGAATCACGTTGCCCCCGGGACCTGAACAATCACTACCACCGGAACAACCTTGCTTGAAGAAATATACTTCTCCGTACCTCTGGCCAAAATGGCGCAAGGCAATGCTGACCTGCATTTCGTGCTTCTCGACAGCAATAGCCGGTTATTCCACTGGTGAGGTTAGTCCGGCATCAGAAGAATTAACGGAACAATGGGGCATAAGCAGCGTGGTGTACAATCTGGGAATTACAATCTTCTGTATTGGGTTTGCGCTGGCGCCTATGGTAATCGCACCGTTCTCCGAGGTCAATGGGCGTCGTCCTGTTTTCATCGCAAGCGGGATCTTGTTTACAGGTAGGAAAGAGTCCAATGTCCGGGGTCTACAAAGAGAACTAACGTGTGAATCCCCGATATACAGCGAGTACGATCGCTTGTGGCGGTTCTCACATATTTGCCGGGTTTCTGGTTGCTCGTTTGATCCAAGGAGTCGGCGCATGTACGGATAACATACTAATTCCCTCTATGCAAAGTACCTCTGCTAATATGCTGCAGCTACGTTCGCAACCGTAGTGGGCGGCGTGATCAGTGACTTTTATGAGGCAGAGGACAGGAACACACCAATGGCAATATATTCCGGAGGCGCGCTTTTTGGCACCGGCCTCGCCCCACTGATATCCAGTATGATTGTATACTATACATCATGGCGCTGGGTGTACTACTCTCACGCCATAGCAGCCGGATGTCTGGTCGTTCTTATGTTCCTTTTCTTCAAGGAAACGCGTGGAAACGTAATCCTACGTGAGAAGGCTCAAGCTTTGAACAAATATTACGATCAATTGGAAGAGGCAGGGCATATTGGGGTGGTGCTAAGCGACAAGGACAAAGCCTGTCGCATTCGATGGAAGGTTCAAAGTGACGAACAACGCGCCTCACTCACCCAAATGATTCTTACTTCTTGCTATCGTCCATTCAGTGAGTTGTTCCTTATATTCCCGTCAATATGTACACTCGAATTCTCATGATATAGATATGATTGTTACCGAACCCGTGGTTTTTTTCTTCTCACTTTGGATTGCGTTCAGCTGGGCGGTCCTCTATCTCCAGTTTGCCGCGGTTCCGTTGGTCTTCGCGACCAACCATGGCTTCAATATCCAGCAGACTGGCGCTGTCTTCACCTGTATGTGCAATCAATCGTATAATCTTTTTGTTTGCCACGTCCATTGACCTGTGTTCAGCGATCTGCGTTGGTGTCGTCCTCATGACTTCCATAAGCATCGTTCAAGAAAAATTAGCCTCCCGCTTTCGCATCCTTCCCAAGTCCGCTGAAGGTAGATTGTACTTCGCATGTGTCCAGGCTGCCCTTTTGCCTATCGGGCTATTCTGGTTTGGATGGACATCGTATTCATCGATACCCTGGATCGTGCCAACAATAGCCGTTGGGTGCGCAACCATGGGCATATATTCGGTCTACCTAGCAGTGTTCAATTACCTGGCAGACACCTATCATCGCTATGCCAGTTCGGCTATTGCGGCACAGTCTTGCTGTATGCCTTCTTGTAATCTATCTGTGCGGGAGTTCGCTGCTAATTGTGTTTGCAGGCCGGAATCTCCTTGGGGGCGTATTTCCGCTTGTTACAAATGCTATGTTTACCAACCTGGGATATCCAGAAGCGTCTAGTCTCCTTGGCGGGATCGTGAGTCAACGCATTTTTCATCTGCAGGGAACATTTCGCTGATTCTCACAGGGGTTGCTTCTGACGCTCGTACCATGGATACTTATGCTCTACGGACCAAGGATTCGTGCGAGAAGCAAACTAGCTAGTGTTAGTGTTCCCTGAATGCCCCGTAATTTGATCAACAGTCAATATATGCTTATGCTTACTTGTATAGGAACTGGCTAATTGAGCCGAATGAGACGGAGCGACTACGCACCAGCACTTATAATAATGTATCAATAATTAAATATAACTAGCTATATCTGTGAAAATATATTCGTATAGAGGGGTGAATTATCCGCTTATGTTCTTGTATTCCATCTGATTTCTATGTCTGCATGGATGGTCCGACAGGTTGAACGCTCACAGCAACGGTCTCTTAATTATGTATTTTGAGGGATATCATACATTTCGTCCGCACGAGAGCCACGGTTAACCATTGGGGCTGCAACAATATAAATGTGCCGAGACTCGTTAGCTGCCAGGTTGTGTATAAATTATGCGTCTTTGATTGTATTTTAGAAGCACAGCGTCACCAATAAACTTGAAGTTACAGGTTGCCATCATCCAGTAACCTTACGATATAAGTTTAGTATATTAAAATAATGCTACTTATATATAAATACACTAGTATTTCGTATTATTTCATATAGGAAGTAGGTAAATGTGTAGAAGGGTACTGTCATGACGAGAGCATGTATATATCGAAATTAGAAATGGATGTACCGTGTATGTCAGCGACATAATTATGAAATAATGGTCGTGAATAGGACAAATAAGCGATATTTATGCTAATGCGGTTATCTTGCGGCTAGCCATGGCTAACCACAGCCAAAGCCGCAAATTGCAGGATTGGCTTTGGTTAGCAAACTTGATAACCAAAATCGCAAACTGCGGCTGCAGTTAGCAAAGAGGCAACCGCAAATGCGGTTTTGCCGCAGTCTACATCAAATATGTTTAAGAATATCATGGACCGTATCAGTCGTTAGACCCGGGAGAGTAGGTGGGATGTAGTTTAAAGCGTGAGAGTTCTCCATTTCCGCGACAGGGCCCAGGACACTTTGCTTCAATATGTTTTTCGTTACCCTTCCGTGGATTGTGTTTTCAAGAGTCTTGTTCAATTCCTTAAAAGTGGGATTTGCAGGCGAATCAGGTCTAGTAGCCTGCCGAGTCTTCTCGAAGACGCCTGTGGACAGTAGAGCCCGCAGTTAGTAACAGGTGATTATCGAAGTAATAGTTTAGAAGTGAGCTCATCGGCGGCTGCTTCTTCGACCAGGAAGGAGGCTGGGGTCACAGAGATAGTCGCATTTTTTAGTACATTACAACAAGATACCCCAGTGCTTTCGGCATTGCCTGTAATTGACATCTACCAGCTGGCTACGGTACTTGACGACTTTGCCTGCCAATTCATAAAGTTTGTGTTGTAGTGATCCAACGTCTTCAGGTCCTGCTCTCAGCTCCTGATGCAGGTGGGCGCGTTAACGTAGTTGGTCATATCATAAGCCCCATTCTGCCAGGTGGGATCATACACATATGACCAGGCTTTACTTGGCTGCAGCTGGTCATGTCTAGCATCCAACCGGCATTGCTGCGAGTCTCCATAAGAGTAGAGGCGGATTTGAAGAACTGGAGCTAATGTCAGAAGCTGAAAGGCGCAAAATAAGACAAAAGATAGAAGGGGAAAGACATACGCAGATCAGGGGAGATATCTCAGCCACACACAGTGGTCTTGATGCTTCTTCTTGAAAGCTCATTGTGCGTAATTATGCTAAACTCAAGCAACGGACAGTAGCACTGAGACGACCTTCGTAGCGTCCAGGGCAACGACAGAAACTTTGGCCCGGTCAATTATTGTGCACAAACCCTCTACGTAGGTTACTGGCTCTATTGAATCTCATCGTACAGTTTATGGCTCAGATGGTCGGGATTTTGGCTGGCAACCGTAATAATCTCGTCCTGGGCGAACCAATCTTTGTCGGGATCGATGGGCGTCGCCAGCACCAACTTGATCCTGACCAAACATTGATCGTACTCGGTTTCCTGGCTGTCTTTGTTGAGTGTTAATTAAGCCCCAGTCGAGTATTGTGCCAAATGCCATTAGCTTTGGAATTGCCTTGACTATCCAGCTGGACGAAACTAGAATCGGTGTATTTTGTAATGTCCTTGTTGCCCACCACAAGTTCTCTGAACACCTGAACACGCCTAAATCTTTTGCATGAACCGGCCTATATCAACGAGAAACTGTATCTAGTCTCCCTGTTTAGTTTGGGTAACTGACTATTCGGGGGCCCGTTCGCGGCTTATATGAGCAATTTGCTCAGCGGTGTTGAGATCTTGGACATCTAATATCCAAAACGCACCCTGCCAATAATTTTGCTAGTTCTTTCACTCAGCAAGACATGATCCATATAATAGCCTGGGATGTCAAATTTTTCAGGGAAGTCTGCGTAAGGGTGAAGTTGTGTTAGATTTACCATTGGGCAATGTAACGTAGCTTTTGCTGACCAGGGGGTCGGGGAGCCCGCCAGCATCGAAATAAGAAATAGTGGCATGACCTGTGCAATAATTAGACATAAATCAGACACGGGAGTTGGACCGACGGTTCTTACCTTCGTGCTAGTTTGCAGCCTTAGACCTTTCGGAAATGGTCTGTATTGCGTACACGCTCTCTTGTGATGTGGTCATTGACAACAAGGACTGTAGTGAACATCCTATAGTGAACACGCAGTTGCTGCAAACGTGATTGAGTACGATGTGCTGCATGTGGTTTGTAAGAATATAGCTGCCCACATTGAAATTAGCTTCTCATAGTATAGCTTTATTATATAGCTGGGTTAACATCCTTTCTGTGCTTTAGCAATGGGCCTCAATGTCTTGTGTAACATGTTTCTGCATGGATATAATATAGCTTAAGTGAGCTATGACCATTTAAATCGCTGGAATAAATTCAGTGAGATCAGAGAAATAGCTAATTATGCCTGCGGTATTCGTCTGTCGCCGTGAGATGAAATTAAGTTAGAAATACCTGAGTCAGGACTAGCGCCGCTCAGATTAGCATGAAACCACTGCTGTTATGAAAAAGGGTGCCGAATGCATAGTTTGAATGGAAGAGCTGGGGATCGGTATTGCAATGGATTGACATCCGCTTCTATTTTGCTTTTTCGGACGAGTGAGCCATTATCAGCTCCGGATTTCACTTCTCATCTCTATGTTATGGCCCAGATGCGCACCTAGAACATTTCCATAAGCTGCAGAACAGCAAATGGTCGGCTGCAGGGACTGAGAATTGAGCGAACAATAATTATTGATTGACGATACCCCACAATCTGCAGGAACTGTAGACCATTTGAGGCCGGATTCAAAACCGCCAGTCCACGTTGTGCATTATGTATGTACTTGTTGCAACTGACGGCAACAATGCAATTGCTTGTAACGGCTCAGCCCAGCGCCTTCATCAGCAAACATCATCAACACGGCAAACAATGCCATGGAAGCAACCAAGGCAAACAAGCTGCTTAGCGAGACCACACACAACCATATAGGACTTCTTCATGTAAATAGATTTGCCTCTTCTCTTTTCTTCTCCAGATTCGATATTCTAGTCGATGGCTACACTGATTTAGATAGGAATATCATTTCATTAGTATCTACTGGTCCGAGCTCGTGACATTGCTCATGTCTCTACGTACTTCGATATTGCAGCATGCCATTGGCAGAGTATATCCGTAGTGCACTTCAAGCATGCATGGTCCTCAGCCCATCAACATTTTTTCTCAGTTCATTGCCACCGTTGTTGTTGCAGCACCATCAAGACAGTACACGATTGCTAATCCCGGGAAAACTTGAAGAGTGATAGGCTTGAAAGGCTTTGGCTTATAGCCCTGATAGTCCAGGAAAAAAGCGATTTGCCTTAGCTTGTCCATGTTCGGGTGTCTTGAGCGCATGTATCGCACTGGTAGCTGTGAGTAATATGGACAAATGCTTCATTGTGTCCACGTATTCCATATCCTTAACCTTGAAGCCAGACAGAGATCCTGACGCTAGCCATATCAGGTAAGGCTGCCCAGTGATGGATTAGCACGAGGTACAGGCTATTTTAATGCACAGCAAATGCTAACCGAATGACTACGAACATGGACCCGTGGAACGGACGAGCGATAGACATAAGAGACCTTAAAGCAATTGATTCGGTTTGATTCGGATCGGTTCAGACCGGCTGCCGTATATAGTTAAGCGAGGGCGATCTGTCTAAGCGAAGTGCACTAGTTGCTATTTGGCTAAGCGAGGAAATGGAGACCCATTGACCGTCAAGTTTGATAACATAAACCCCAGCAGAGGGACCTATTCTGGAATGAGGATGCTGGACACAGTATATATATAGTTCGTGCCAAGAATACACCAAAGTCAATCACAATCGTTTGATTGCCAGTTTATCAGGGGTAGATTGGGAGTATACTCGTATATAAGGACCTTTAGTTGAGGCTATTGGGATGCTATTCCAATGCTAGTACCGAGCACCTGACACCCATTTGATGATAATGCGTCTCTTATGGGCTCTTCCTTTATCCTCTGCGCTGCCAGCGTGGGCAGCCACCAGCGGAGAGTTCAGTGTCTTGTCGTTCAATGTGGCCGGTCTCCCCGCAGTTTTCAACACTAATGGTGTTTCCGGCAGTAAGACAACAAATACTGAATTCCTTGGGTCGAAGTTTGCACAGTATAAATACGACGTGATCCAGGTGCAGGAGGTAAGAGCCCCGGTGTTTCTCTTTTAGACCAATCGACTCAGCTGACGACGAACCAAGGATTTCAATTACCACGCTTATCTCTACAAAACCGACAACCATCCGTATCGTACGTCTACGTCAGGAGGTGCAGTAGTCGGTTCAGGACTCAACACGCTATCAAATTATCCCTGGGTGGACCTTCGGCGCATCAAATGGGACACCTGCTCTGATATTGCAGACGCAGACTGTTTCACGCCCAAGGGCTTTACAGCTATGCGCATACAGGTGGATGAGGGCGTCTACATTGACTTCTACAATGTCCATGCCGATGCAGGGTGAGTGATACTCCTAGAATGTGTGGTAGCCTGAACTGACTGGATTGATAGGAATACCAAAGCTGACCTGAATGCGAGAAATTCTAACTTGCAGCAGGTTGCAAATCACATTGACATTCATTCCACAGGAAACGCTGTAATCGTCACTGGAGACACAAACTCCCTCTATGCTTCACCCGGTGAGAAAATTCGCGTGTTCCAAGATCAGAACTTGATGAAGGACTCGTGGGTGGAACACATATTGAACGGCGCAGAGCCTCGAGAAGGCAGTCAACCCGAGAAATGTGATAACCCTACGAAAAATGACACCTGTGAAGTGCTCGATAAAATTCTGTATGATTCTGTTTCCCTATTCTTCATTTCATGGTCGGCTGACTGAAATATGTCTAGTTATCGTGGTAGTCGCATACTTGACTTGCAATCCATCCACTTCGCGTACGAGGATAGCAAATTCTTACGTGACGGATCAATTTTGTCAGACCATAATCCAATTACCAGCAACTTTACCTGGTCCCTGTCCCCGTCTATCCGGCAGACAAATCTTTTTGGAGGGCCGCATGGGTAAGTTTAATGTCAGGTTCCCTAGATCCAATGCTAATTGTCTAGAAACTGGTTCAACGATCTTCCCTTAACCCCGGATTCTGCGACGGGTACTAACAAGCCAAAAAAAATTTCCCTCCGTGGTGACGAGCGTTTGATCGCGGTAGGTCTGGTTCTAGCATCCGGCAAAAAATATAGCCACGGCGGCCCAGACGGAAAACTCCACGAACTTGTGCTAGCAGACAATGAATATTGGACACGGGCCCAGTTGTGCCAGGGTAAGCACAATGACCATACTCGAGCCTTTTTCTTGTTGGCCACGACTAGTGCTGGGAACACCATTAGCGCTGGCCAGGTGACCGATGACTGCCGGGAATTTCAGATGAAAAATGGATGGCAGATCGTGGGTTTCTATGGCCAGGATGGTGACGAGATCGATCAGTTGGGATTTATAACTGCACAAATTTGAGTTTCTGGTCGATTGAAGATATAATGTACTGTGCTTCTATGTATCGTGCATTCGTGTAATAATACAGTAAATGCGTGTCCCATCAGGTCTTCCCAACCGTACAAAACAGTACGCAATGTACTACCCTTCTAGGGTTTATTTTCAACATTGGCAGTCCCTGGTCTAATATACGTCGTCCGACGGATCACCTTCCAAACGACAAAAGCGAGGATGAAAAAAGCGATCATCACATAGTCTAGGAAGAAGGTTTTAATGTCCCACTGCCCCGGAAAAAATAGGTCAAATCCTAGTATCAGGAGCATGATACTCGTACCGAAAACCGCGTACCATGCGGCATAGGGCTGTAGGTATCCCTGATATGGAAGAGTATGTCGATCGATTTTCTGCTGACGCATTGCTGCATAGAAGTGCAAATACGTGAGACATGTGCCAAGGTAATTGAGGAGATACGCGGCAGTGATACAGCTGACCAGCCAGTTCAGAACAGTGGCGGAACTATTATTGACTTGAAGAAAGGCCAGTGCGCAGAATGACATAGTTACAGCCACGGCATTGTACGGTAGGCCATGGCGGTTGCATTGTGATAGGACTTTGGGAGCTTTGCCCTCAAGTGACATACCATATAACGTTCGGGCACCGGAGAAGACAAGATTATTGGCAGCCGAAAGGACAGACGTCATAATCAGGGCGTTTACAATATCTGGCAAGATACTGATCCCAAAACGGTCCATGGATATAACGTACGGCGATCTTCTCGGTCAGTTCTGCCCTGATATGCAAGAGAGCCCATACTCACGCTGCACCTGTTTCACTGCCCTCCTTGGACCCGTCAAGCATATTCTGCAGACTCTGATCATTATAGGGAATAACAATACCAACACAGAGAGCACCCAGACAAAAGAAGAATAGAAGTCGCCAGAAGAAGGATGCGTAGGCCTGACGCATGACCTTATGTGGATTTTGCGCTTCTCCTGCCGCCATAGAGATAAACTCTGGTCCTACCATTCTGAAATGAGAAGTCAACAAATGCCGAGAATTATATCTGACTGTGTAGACCTACGTAAACGAGGCCTGCACCATACAGCTCAGAACTCCCAAAAAACGACCAGTATTCCCTGGAACTAAGTACGAGACGAAGGCCCCCTACTTTGTATCTCAGCATCTAGAATGGATGGATGTGGGAAGCAGATGGACTCACCGGATCCCTCCAATATCGAAAACCATAGACGTCGTGATGAGGGTTGCCACCAACCATGGTAACGAAAGTGTACGCGATCAAGCCCACCATTAGGAATACCTTGAAGATGGACAGATAAAACTCCGATATGCCGTAGTATCGAACCATAAGACCATTCATGAGCCTAGTAGAGGATTAGTTTGGAATCCAACTTTTTCATATTGTCTGTAAGTAAAAATACGCAAGGATTACTATGATGATGGCAACAACGACTGCAACAGGAACTTTGTTGGTCCAATATGTCAAGAGCACGTTGAGCGCAACAATTTCATATGGAAGACCAAGGGCTATTTGCCATGAGCATAACTCTCTTTATATGTTCTTCGCAATGAGAGACATACATACCAACGTTCAAAAAGAAGTTCCATCCCATGGCGAAACTCAAGGCTTCATCAACCCAGTGTCCTGCCAGTCGAATAAACGGTGATGGGATCGGTCGATAGCAGATCATTTCTCCTATAACAAACATCAGACATAACTCAGCATCAAACTTCTCAAACGAATTAACCAAAGCATTGATTGACTGCTAGAATTATAGTCCCGTATGCCAGAAAGCCAATGAATAAACCCGCCGGACCACCATGTGGAAGGACAGCTCCCATCTGGACGAACAATGCTATGCAGGTAATTAGCACCTTCAATACCAGGAGTTGAAGTGGACTTACATGTTCCAATCGCTCCCCCCACAGCAAATAGTTGGACCTCCCGGCTGCGCAATTTTCGATGTAGATCCTCTGATGAAGGAGCTTCGATATCCAAAGAGCCTTCGTTTCGAAAAACTCTCGAGGATCGAATATCCATGGCAGGATAGACCTGCTGTCCTTCAGGCTTACTTGGAAGTAGAATCATCTTGTTGGGAGTCAAACTGCTGTTTCATCTCCTGGACCTGACGACTTCTGTTCTTGCGACTTAAAACCTGATTGTTTTGCGCCAACTCCCCCTCTTTTTCATGCACGTGATAATTAAATTGACAATGCGCCATAAATACCGGTTTTCGCGCTAAGAATGATCCCGAATGGTAATTGGTTAGGCTTAATGTACGCTCGGCCGTGGCTGCAGCGGCGGAGATGCGATAAGTTGTCAACTGCGATGCTTGGTACGATATTTTAGGCGGTATTCGGAATGAATAGAGGAAGAACTCTTATTGAGAAAATTACTTATCGTAAGACCTATATTAACAGTCTGGCAGGCATCAATCTAGATACTAAAGGGAACCATGATGAAAAAATTCAAAAAGGAAAAAGGAATAGAAAGTATCTCACGAGCTCGAAGATAGACATTGACACAGGTCGCCCATAGACACCTAAAGATATTTTATTTGGCCTGGTTTGGCCTGATTTGGCCTGATTTGGCCTGATTCTTTTGCATAAATGGCTGATTCATTTAAATTAACGTATTCCACGGCCAAGCCGCACCACGGGACTCATTCTGTTATTAGTCTCAGGAGTAGTAGCCGTAGCGCGGATAGATGAGCTACCAAAATAAGGCACCCGAAAGCATAGATCTCATAAACGCTAAGGCTCCATGGTCAATTTGGGAGTGTGAATACTTCTGTGGCTAGATTGCATTGTCGTGCCACTTAGAATTGCTCTGTCAGTTGGCACCATGGGCGCTACTAGACCAATCGGGCTATTACCAAAAAAATTTGGCCCTTGCTATTGAAAACAAACTTCGCTTTTCATAGTGTATTTTCTCTCGTTTCACTTAGAAAAGACACATTTCACAAAAATTTAAATCAATGTTCATGAATTCGAGTTGTCAGTACATGTAGACCTCGGCATGGGTACCCAATGGGTAGAGGTCTCTGCCCATTACCCATACCCATAGGCCCATGGGTACCAATGTAGTACCCATTTCCTGCCCATGGGAGTTGACCCACTACCCATGGGTAACCCATCGAATACCCATGCATGCATAACTTTCCTGATTAGGATGCATTATTTGCTGATTCAGCATAATATAAAAAACACACATTTTGGTCACGATCATGATTATAGCCAACTTCTAATGTAATTCCCTTGTAAATGTTTGAAATTGGACTGAATATGAATATTGCAATAGCTGTTTTATATTCTGGCTATAGATCCTATATACAAAATAGTATATATGTTGAGTAATGGTAGTGAAGAGCCAATGTAGCTGTATTGAATATGAAAATATATATTTCCTACAGCTACGACTGGGCTTTACAGGAAAAACATAGGAATCTGATGACGTCTACAATCCTTAGATTTTCAATTTTTTTTTTTTTTTTACTTCATAGTACAAATTCCACCTGCAAGTAGCTCCAATTGATTATTATTCAGCCCTGAGACTCCCGTGCGGCCAAAAAAAGCTGCCAAACCTATCTTCCAATTCTGGGAACCCGGGGCATGAGCTTGATGAATTTCGGGTAAAATGGGCTACCCATGGGCTACCCATAACCCATGGGTAGCCCATGGGTAGCCCATTGACCGCTGTAATAGGCCGAAGCCTTGCTATCTAGTATATAGATATGTACAAAAAGAACTCGTTGAAGGAAGGAAGAATCGTTAGTATGGCGGGCAATGAATTTGGACGTGTCCTCGTGATCAGGTGACCTCTGGTCACCTGACTTCGAGGTGGTTCCGCGGATAGCCTCAATCGAGAATCATTCATGATTCGAGGTGCCTTTCGGGCCTAGCCCGTTACATTACCCCCCTCCTTGTCGCCTCCGCGGACGTCCCCCGGCGTGGGGCGGCTCGTTTGGCCTTGGGGTATTTAGGCTCGATTGGATAACAATCCCATTTGTCTGTTTGTAGGCTTCCCAGTCGTCCAATGCTGTAGTATCCTCCATATTCACCGCATCATTCCATTCCGGTTCTTGCCAGCCGATGTATTTGACTAGGAACTCATGTCTTTCGCCTCGTCCCCACCGTCGGAATCTCTCATCCAGTATCTGTTCAATCGCATATTCCTCATTCCCGTCAATCATCTCTGCAGGAGGTTGGTAGTCATCCTTCTGTTGACTAGGAAAGGGGTCTGTTGCCGCTGGTCGTAGGAGCGCTGTATGGAACACATTGTGGATTGTGTTCGGTGTGTTGAGGCGATAGGCATGGGATCCAATCCTCTCCAGTACAGTAAATTTTGCCTGCCTACTTCCCAGTTTTTTGCTAGGGCGTTCCGTGCGTATGTTGCGTAGGTCAAGCCAGACTTTCTGTCCAACTTGATATTCAGGTGCAGCATCCCTCCAGCGATTAGCGTAGTCTTCCTGTCTCTGTTGGGCAACAGCAAGTTCAGTTGTGGCAATGTCAAGAGCTCCTTTTAGCTTGGCTGCAATCCGTTCACCTCGTTCATGCATGGTGCCTAGGTCCGGTGCTGAAAGATTGATTTCAACATCTTCTTCTAATTGGAAAGGCTCGACGTGGTAACCGTGGTCGAGAAAGAATGGGCTGACACCAGTAGAGGTGGCGTCTCGGCTGCATATTGCAAGCTGTGCCATAGGGAGCAAGGATGCCCAATTTGATTGGGCATGGTCACAAAACGAGCGCAAGAACAATTCAATAGTAGCGTTCATTCATTCTGTTTGGCCGTCGGTTTCAGCATGGTAGGCAGTTGATAACTGCCGTTTGATCCCTAACAGTTCACAGAAACGCTTCCACATTCCATTGACAAATTGTGTTCCTCTATCTGATACAATGCTTGCTGGCATGCCATGATAACCAATGAAACCCTGGATTAACTTCTGTGCCACAGTATAAGTGTCAACCTTCTCACAGGGTATTGGGATGACGCCCTTCCCTAG